CAGGTTGACTACTGCGGGCCAGAACGAGAACAACTTGCAGCGGTGTACACTTACATGGCGCGCAGTAGTCAACCTCGCCCATACATGAAGAGATACACTGCGTTAGAGGGCGGTTGGCTACTGCGGGCCATCGGGACAACAACCAGCATCGGTACACACTAACATGGCACGCAGCAGTCAACCTCACTCAGCTGGAAAAATAGAAGAACATGTGGCACTAGCGACAAGTTGACTACTGCGGGCCAGAACGACAACAACCAGCAGCGGTGTACACTTACATGGCCCGCAGTAGTCAACCTCGCGCAGACAGGCATACATACACTGGACAGACAGACAGGTTGGCTACTGCGGGCCAATGGGACAACAACCACCAATGGTACACACAGTCATGACACGCAGTAGTCAACCTCTTGCAGCTTGGAAAACAATACTCGCACAATCGACACGTTCACCAGTCAGCGATGCAACACGACGCCGAACGTGACATGCGAGACCAGAATTGGCCTGCAAGGGGGACAACTTCGTGCTGTCGGACAGGTAGACATGCGCCGACAGAGGGCCATTCAGTGTTGCGGCCCACTAGCCAACCTCAAGTATGTGAAAACCAAACATAGGTACACACAGATAGAAAGAGAGAGGGGGGGAGAGAGAGAGAGAGAGAGAGAGAGAGAGAGAGAGGGAGAGAGAGAGAGATCACGCTTCCTTGACGACCCGCGCTGCCACAATTTGACATCTTCTGTACAGAGTTTTCAAGCGCTCATGGATGTCAAGTCCTTTCCTGCAATATTCACTTTTTTTTTTCGCTCCATGATGGTCCGCGCTCAGTAACACCGGTCCCATTATCTCTTTGATATATGAAATTATATGGGAAAAACAGTCCGCGACCAGCCTGTGCATTTGTCGAGAGTTTGCGTCAACAACGAAATTTTCAAAAATTTGCAACGTCATAGGCAGTACAGAAGATTCTGGTCCGGCCGAAGGTGCTTTGCTAGCAAGCACGCAGGGGAAGTTGTGACGCACGTGGTGAGATTTCAGTGCGGCAACATCACTGCACGCCAACAGGACATGTGGCGCACGCGCATCCTTCCCAAGAGTGGCCTCATTTCCCGAATACACTCCGATTGGTTTGTCAGCTTCTTCTCTTCCCTTCTTCGTTTCACCTTCTCAACATCTCATAACATCTCCTTCCATACATGTCACTGTCAGTTCTCCAGCCAACAACCTGCCTCGAGTGTGTTGCAGGGCATCCATTACGTCTTCGCAACTGCTCAGCAGCGCGATTTTTGCAGGAAGCTCGTCATTAACAGACCCGACACCCACTTCACTCAGACCGTACTCCTCGACGGTTTCCGTACAGTGGCGAATGCAGTCCTTGGCGAAGGCTAAGAGGTCAACGACGCTGCGTGCCGTCGTAGGTAGCGAACCTGTGTTGTAATCTTGGCTATTGTACGATGCCCACCCCTCCTTCAGTACACACTTTCCGCAGCTGGCAAGACACATGCCATCCCCTACGTCTGACTCCCCGTTTGTTGTCTTCGTGACGTGGGCGGAGAACCGCTTCAAGACTGCGGTGCGCCTTTCCCTTTTAATATCCAGCCATGCCTGAAACTCGTCGAACGTGGTGTTCTTCGTTTCAGCAATTGCCTGAAGTCTACCTGACATGTCCTCCCTCAGACGAGTAACGTCTATATCTTTCATGTTGTCAAGCAACGACCAGAACACGGTGAACATCCTGTGCTCCGCAGTTTCTGTCATTTCGTCGAGGAGCGACTTGAGGCGGCGTAGTTCGTCTGACATCTCTCTAAGCAGTACTTTCTGCTTATGCACCTCCTCTGTTAGCCTGCCTATATGTTCTCAGTCGCTAACTACAGTCCGACCCCTGTTTCATTCCGTTTCAGGTGTCTTATGGTCCTTGCCGCGTGGGGGAAGGAACTCATCCATCCTTGCATGACACTCTCCGCCCAGCTTTCTTTTCTGTCCGGT